GTAGTATCCCTTAGTCACTCCATTTGGACGGTCAGCGGGGGTACATGCAGCACCATAGCAGGAATGGTAAGACAGCTGGAGGCTCAGGCCTGTGCAGGTGAGGGTCTGGGTCACCCCAGCAGGTAGCCCACCTACAAGCGCAGAGGCGTCAGGGATGAGGGAACCTGGGTTGTTGGGGCACCTTTTCACTTGATGTTATCACCGATACCCACAACCTAAAGAAAGAGAGGTTTACCTTGACTCGTGGCTTCACTGCATGGTCCACCGGTCCCAAGGCAGCGCAGCACAGCAGGGGAACACACTGGAGGAAAAGCTGCTCATCGTGTGGCAGCCTAAAGCACAGAGATGAAGGAGGACACCCCCTCCTGCCCCCAGGGACCCACCTCTTCTGACCATACCCCAACTTCTAGCAAGGCAGTGTAATGTCTCGTAATCCAACCACTTCCCAAGCACCCTGCCCATGAGTGCCTGAAGCTCCTGGGGACACCTATATATGAACCACTGAAAGTGCCAGCCTTGTCCCTGAGAGCAGCTACTGTGGCAGGAGCTGCAGTTTGTCCCTCTCAGTTTCTCTCAGCAAGAGAGGATCCTCAGAATCTTGAAGTAACTTCTCTAGGAATTTACCCAAAGGCACTGGCTTTAAGTAGCACGAGGGGTGGGCTGCAGTGGAAGCTATGAGAGGAGCGGCGCCAGCTCCCACCCTGCACAGCCCCATATCCTGACGCTGCCCCACAGCCCCACCCCGCGCTGCAGAACTGAAGCACTCGTCCGGCCACACCATAGGAGCGTTGCCAGCTGAATCAGCAGCTGGGCTCTCCCCAAGCCTGGCTGCCCCTCGCTGAAGAGGGCCACCTTGTCCAAGGTCATGCCTGTAAGGATCCATCAGTTTCTCGGTGGTCCCCTGGAGAAAACAGTGCGAGGGTTCAGAAAATGAAAACATGAGATAATAAGTGAGGTCATGGGCCAGCAAGATAGCTCAGTGCACTAAGCAGCTGCTTTGGCAAGTGCAGGGACCAGGGGTTCCATCCCTGATCCCGCATGCTGTGTTGGCCCCACCCCCATGGCGCACTGAGATGGCGAGTGAGTCCAGACATGGTGGCGCACGCCTGCAATCCCACTGTTGGAGAGGCTGAAAACAGGAGGATCACTAGGAGTCCGAGCTGTGTAGTGAGACCCTGCACCAAATACATTAAATAAATAAATAAATAAATAAATAAATAAATAAATATCTGAGGTCAGGTGGTGGACCATGCCTGAGTGGCAAAGGTCCCCTGAACAACAGCAGGGGCCTTCATTTATACCTTCTCAAAGTTGCAAGACACAAGGTTGCCTAGTGACAAATAGCCCACAATGTCCAGGCAGGATGTCTTTCTCAAGACTGAGGTAGCTTAGCTGCTTTAAGCCAAGAGGCCTCATCCTGCCCTCCCACACAGCTTCAGCAGCTCCCAACGTACCCACCATCTGCAGAGGGCTCATGCCTCTGTCACTGGAAGTCAGTGAGAAGTTTTGAAAGGCCCAAGGTCCCCTGGGTAACCTGGTCACAGCCCAAGCCCTCTCTCCACTTCCCGTGAGGCCTTGAAACCACATTTGAATTCATTTTTTACATAAAAATCTCAGACTGAATCTGCCTCCTCTTGGAAACCAATCTGCCATGATTCACAGAGTTCTGCCTGTCCCTTTTCAATGTGGTGGCACATGCCAGTAACCCTAGCTCTTGGATGGTGAAGCAAGGGGACTGAGACTTTGAGGTCAGCCTGGACTACAGAAATCCTTTCTTATTTTTTTGAGACAAGGTTTCTCTATGCAGCCTAGGCTGGCCTTGAACCCACTATGGAGCCCAAGACGGCCTCGAACTCATAGTGATGAACTCCTGCCTCAGCCTCTCAAGTGCTGGTATTACATATGTGTGCCATCACACCTGGCTAGAGACCTTATTTTTTTTTTGTTGTTGTTGTTGTTTATTTTTTAAGACTTAGAAAATGATCTTTTCCAGTATCTTTTTACTGCAAACATAATGAAGATGGCTTTTTACTGCAAACATAATGAAGAGCCCCTGCTCGTTTGGGGCAGTAGGTTTTTTTTGATAACATATTAATTTTTTGACAATGCATTAACAGCCAGGATGCTGCCCTATTTTTATTATGGCTGTGGGGTTGCACATATTAAAAAGCAAGCGCTCACCATGAAGCTAGTACACGGTCACATGGCTTTCGGAAAATACTGTTTTTAGCTCTTCCCAACTGGTATATATATATATTTTTTTTTTTGGCGGAACCAGGGATTGAACTCAGGCCCTTGCGCTTGCCAGGGAAGTGCTTATTCCACTGAGCCATCTCCCTGGCCCCCTTCATTTTTTTTTTTTAATATTTCATTTTTATAATGGTCTCCACAAATTTTCTGTGAGTTTTTTGTGCTCTGCTTTTCATAAAAGACTGGGTACAGGGCTGGTGAGATGGCTCAGTGGTCTAAAGCACCTACTTAGAACAAGCTTAGCAAAGCACAGGGACCGCGGTTCAATCCCCCAGCCCCACATGCCAGCCAGCCCCGCCCCCTGGTGGGCTGAGCTGGCCACACACACACAAAATAAATAAATAAATAAATAATTTTTTTTTAAAAAAAAGACTGGGTACATATCTGACCCACACACGATGAACTTTTCTTGAAATTCGACTATCCGTTTAGACCTGTTCTGGCTGGCTCTGTCGCCTGCTTCATTGGCAGAGCAGGAGCCAACAGCAGAAGGGACAGCACTGCGTGAGGTAAGAGGCCCCGGGCGCTGCGAGTGGATCTGCAGAGATCTGGCGCCCTCTTCCCTCACGTGGCCTGGGTTGCACTGTGCCCTCAGAGCGCCCCAGAAGCACTCTGCCCCAGTGTGGCCAGCCTGACGGCTGGGCTTCCACTTGGCTCCTGATGTACACATCTGTCCCCTGCCGGGCCAGGAGCCTGTCCTCAGCCCAGTCCAGCTGGCTGAGGCGCTGACCCCCTCTCCTGATTTCTGCCAAATTTCTCTGTTGCTGGTATTCCTGCCTTGATCCAAATGTTGATCCTTGTGCCAGGACTCTGGTCAACAGGATGCCAAGAACTCTGGCATCCTAGAATGCCACCTGCAACCCCTGTCCACCCACCAGGCCCTGCCCCACGCCCTGCTGGCCCAGGCGGCATCTGTTGCCCTGCACCTGCACCTGTGTCCACAGGAAGACACTGAGCAAGCTGTCAGCATTCAGCGGGGCTGAGCCCTGTGCGCTGGGCCAGCTGCCTCAGCAAATCCCTCCGCACAGTAAATACCTGCAATCCCATCACTTCCGCCACGGCTACCGCACTGACAAATGAATCCCTGCTAATGAGCAATTAAGCCAATTAAGTACTACTTCCCTTCATTACCAATCCCTGGACTGGTAAAACAGCTGGCAAAGTGACAATTTCCCAGAATTTGAGCATTTGTTTATTTATTTTTATTTTTTTAATTATGTATTTTGTGTGTGTGTGTGGGTGGGGGGCCACCTCCGCCAACCAGGGGGCGGGGCTGGCTGGCATGTGGTGCTGGGGGATTGAACCGCGGTCCCTGTGCTTTGCTGAAGCTTGTTCTAAGTAGGTGCTTTAGACCACTGAGCCATCTGACCAGCCCTGTTTATTTATTTTTAACTAATTTATTTTTGAGACACAGTCTTGCTTCATAGTGCAGGCTGGCCTTGAACTCACTATGTACTGGGCTGGCCTCAAACTTGAGGCTATCTTCCTGCCTCAGCCTCTTGAATGCTGGGGTGATAGGTGGGTACCGCTATGCCTGGCTTGAGCGGTTACTTATTTTAATGAACATTTATTTTAGGTTTAGTTGTGACCAAAATACCCTACCTCTCCAATAGTTGTGTTGTCATTGGTCAAAACCTCCATCTTGACAGACACATACTACTTACCTTTCTTGAACTTCTGATTTGTAGCTATTCAAGGGTAGATATTTTCTTTCATTTAAAACCAAGAAAGACTTGGGGCCAGGGAGATGGCTCAGTAGGATAAGCGCCTGACTGGCAAACGCAAGGATCTGAGTTCAATTCCCGGGTCCGCCAAAAATAAATAAATAAAATAAAAATAAAAACAAGAAAGGCTTAATTTATCATAGAAATCAAGTAGCCTTAACACATATACTAGCCACAGTGAGTTTACCCAGATTTATAAAATAGCAAACTGCAGGGCACAGTGATGCACACCTGTAATTCCAGCACCCAGGAGGCCAGGGCAGGAGGCCATCACTATGGGTTTGACATCATCCTAATCTATATAGGAATATGATTTAAAAAAACAAAAAAACAAGGGGCCGGGGAGATGGCTCAGTAGAATAAGCACAAGAACCTGAGTTCAACCCCCAGTTCCGGGAAAAAAAAAAACAACAACAAAAAAAAACATTACAGAGGTAGGTCAGGGTAGAATATTTCCTAGGCAAAGTAATAGTCTTGGGTTCCATCCCCAGAACACACTCACACAAACACAAACTGTGTCTATCCCAGACACTCTTGCCTCAACCGTATTTTCAGAGGGGGAAATAAAGGACCAAGAGGTTCTGGAAATCAGCAGGCAGATAGTGACCTGTAAAACAATAAAAATGCACAGTTATGTTCCAGTATCTTTTTTCGGTGGAACCGGAAATTGAATGCAGGCCCTTGCACTTGCCAGGCAAGTGCTTATTCTACTGAGTCATCTCCGCAGCCCATATGTTCCAGTATCTTATTAACTAAAATATTCATTGGCCTCAGGACAGATAAATTCTATCTCATGCTCCAACAGGGACACCAATTTAAGATATGGTACATATGCAGGATCATGAGTAGGTAGGCATGGTGGTGAACACCTATAAGCCCAGTACTGGGAGGCTGAGGCAAGAGGATCTCTGCGAGTTCAAGGTCATCCTGGCTACATAGTGAGTTCAAAGACAGACTGAAATACATATTGAGACTGTCTCAAAAACAAAGAAACAAACAGAACTTGGGTTATAAGCATCTTTAAAGCTCTATAATTGATCTAGAGGTCTGGAAATCAATCGAGATAAATCAGAGGGGCAGGAGGGGGTCGATGGCAGGAGTGCCCGGCCGGGCGGCGGCCGCGGTCAGTAGAGGCTGGTCTTCTTCATGACGCGCAGGAACTCCTCCTCGCTCACCTCGCCGTCGCCGTCGCGGTCCGCCTCGTCGATCATCTCCTGCAGCTCCTCGTCAGTCAGGCTCTCCCCCAGCTCGTTGGCCACGCGCTTGAGGTTTTTGAAGGAGATCTTCCCGGTCTCGTCATCATCAAAGAGTCGGAAGGCCTTAAGGATTTCTTCTTTGGTGTCCTTCTCGGCCATCTTCTGGGTCATCACAGCCAGGAAGTCGTTGAAGCTGATCTTGCCCGTGCCCTCCTTGTCCACCTCGGCGATCATTCGCTTCATCTCCTCCTTCCTGGGCTCGAAGCCCAGCGCCCGCATGGCCACTTTCAGCTCCTTCACGTCGATGGTCCCACTGCCGTCCGCGTCGAAGAGGTCAAAAGCTTCCCGCACTTCTTGCTTTTGCTCTTCAGTGAGTTCTGGCTTAGGGCCCACTTTCTTCTTCTGGCTGACTGAGGCCACATTTGGCTTCTTGAAGCTGGAAGCCATCCTCGTAGCGGTTAGGGCGGTAGTGGCGTCGCCGCGGCCGCTGCGCATGCGCCCGAGCCGCGCCTGGGCCGCACTTCCGGGTACTGGGGCAGCGGGGGCGGGGCCGCTGCAGACCACGCCCCGCTCCACGGCGTCGGCGCTGTCATCGTCCACTGTCCCCTTGACTAATAGGGCGCTGGCGAGAAGTGCCATGGCCACCGTTGCCTTCTGTAAGTAATTCATCCACACTGGGTTTTCTTCGATTTGCACCCATTGCACCCTTTTGTAGATTTGCAAGTTCTCCTTCATTCCTTTTCCATATTAATAAAATTAAAATATGCTTGGTCTGAAGTTACCCACGGGCAGACTTTGGATGATGGACGTGGAAGCCCGCCGTGGCGGCGCATACCTGTGCTCCCAGCACTTGGGGAGGCTGAGGCAGAAGGTCACAAGTGTGAGCCCAGCCTGGGCAACTGAGGAAGACCTTGTCTCAAAATAAACAATAAAGAGCTGGGAATGTAGCTCAGTGTGAAGGTGCTCAGTTCAACCCCCAGAACTAGGAGGGGGAGGGCTGAGTTTGATCACTTGGCATTAAATATGGAAAAGGAGAAGGGAAAGAGAATTATTAAAAGTCACACCATGTGTTCAAATTGACATAAATGGAAAACAGATAAAATGGAAAAAGTTATGTATAAAATTTGTCGAAGTTTGTCTCCTGACATTATGCTCAACCATAATAAAATTTTTTTGGCATATCCTCAAATATGAAATGTAGTATCCAAATGTATGAGTTACTTTTAGTGTTTCAACTTGACATACTTGGCATAACTGTGCTTGAGTAATGGTTGTAATTTCATTCACTACGGTTTTGATTTGGAGGAAAGGGAGTCGAAATAATGCACTCTGGTGTTGGGTGGGAGGGGGTTGGTGGTTTGTTTTTAACCCTAGCAGCATTTTTGCCTGCTTTTTCACTCAGTCGGTGCTGTGCTGAGCCCCACACTCTGGTAGCCCTCCTGTGGTGTGGGCCTCTGCCTGGCAGGAGGAGGAATCAGGAGAGAGAGACCAGGACACGTGGCATCTTGGGACCCAAAATCACCTCCTGGAAATCAAAGGGTCCTTCCTTAAGCCAAAGAAGCAAGAGAAAAAGGGAAGCATTTAAAGTGAAAAACAAAGAAAATGTTAAACAAATAAACTCAGGAATGGCTCTGGGGGCTGGGGAGATGGCTCAGTGGAATAAGTGCTTCCCTGGCAAGCGCAAGGGCCTGAGTTCAATCCCCGGTTCTGAAAAAAATCTGAGAGGAATGGCTCTGTATTTCTTTAAACAGTTAAAAAAAGAAGTGACTTTATTTTTAGCATTCTTTACAAAAAACCAAAAAACTGAAAAACAAAACATAATTTATCAACTATTGATCTGTTAACAACAGACGACACTTGGAAGTTTTTGTTTCAGAGCTTTTGCGTCCCTAGTACCTAGAACAGTGCTCCAGAAGTTGTGGGTAGATAAGAAATTAAGAATTGGTGAATTCATGCATGACAATTAGTTTGTCCTAAAATACCTTGTGAATCCTCAAAAGAAAGCAAGCCATCAAATAACCCAAAAGACTAATGCTAGGAGCATTTTCGTAAACTTTTAGAATCGGTGACCAGATCTGTGAAATTTATATATATATGGAATTATAGTGAAATACTCTACAGTGGCTCTTTCTAACTGGTGTCCTGCTTTTAAGACTCATCCCTGTACATTCATGTCTAGTTGTCAATCCTTCATTATCACTGTACTGTGGCATCCCAACATAGGAATTGGCTAGAGCTTATCTACTCTATGGTTGACTGATGTCTGCGTTGTTTGTGTTACTCAAGTACTCCTAAGAATAGTATTTTACTGTTCTTCAAGACAAATACATAAGAATTTCTATGAGAACAGTATAGGGTTTTTTGTTTGTTTTTTGAGGACTAGGGATTGAACTCAGGCCCTCGTGCTTGCCAGGCAAGCGCTTATTCCACTGAGCCATCTCCCCGGCCCCATTTGTTTGTTTTGAGACAGGGTTTTGTTATGTAGTCTAGCATGGCCTTGAATTTACTGTGTAACCGGGGCTGGCCTCAAACTCTCCTGGTGATCCTCCTGCCTGAGCCTTTTGAGTGCTGGGATTCCAAGTGTGGGTCACTATACCTGGCAAGTGGAATTGCTTATTCATGCACACTTATCTTTAGTAGATAACAACAAGGCACTTTTGTTTTGATTTTGTGGTGGTTGGGGTTGAACTGGGGCCTCTTAAAAGCTAGGAGAGCTGTCACTGAGCCACGTTGCCGGCCCATGAGGCCTGTTTCGTTAGCTGCATCTCACAACCTGCTCTACCTCATTTGGACAGTAGGCAGTGTTTATTTACTTCCCGCATGCGACACGGGGTTTCTGCAGGCCAGGAGAGCTTCCTGGGCGACTCAAAGTAGACTGTGGCAGGCAGACATGGCAGGGAGCTGACTGCACATGTTTTGCCTGCCTTTTTTTTTTTTTTAGACAGGCTCTCACTATGTAATTCAAGCTGGGCTTGAACTCACTATGTAGCCCAGGCTGGCTTTGAACTCATGGTGATCCTCCTGCCTCAGCCTCCCAAGTTCTGGGATTACAGATGTGCACTTTCATGCCCAGCCTGCCCTGCCCCTGCCAGATCAAAAGGCTCAGCATATTCTAAGCTCATGCTTTACGATCTCTGGGACTCTGGAAAAGTCAGCCTCTGAGACTCATTTGACACATCAGCAAAGGAGGCATCATGATACAGCTCCCTAAAGTACCTCCGAGGAGAACATGTCCATAAGAGCTTGGGGACATGACCCCAGTGGGGTCATACCAGCCTAGTAATCGCTAATTGGACATCAGTTCTTCCCAGACTTTGTGTATTCCTTTTTTTTTTTTTTGGCGGAACTGGGGATTGAACTCAGGCCCTTGCGCTTAACAGGGAAGCGCTTATTCTACTGCGCCATCTCCCGGCCCCTGTGTGTTTCTTTTAACACCCACCCCTCTGCCCAAACTCAAGCCAAACTATGATGTGTGGAGAAAAGCGAAAGATAGAAGCTGCCTGTGTAGAGCTTCGCCGGAGCCAAGTTGAGCTTGAAGCAAACTGGTTGTCATCGTTTCCAGATGTGTGCGATCAAGTCACAACAAGGGGCCACCAAGAGCTCTCTTCGTGGAAAACAGTGTCCTCGGTCCGAGGCCGCTTGGTGGAGAGTTACTTTGTGTTCATAATCTAAACTCTCACTCTCAAAGGAAAGGGAAGGTCGCGTTTGCTGCAGCCTGGGCTTCCTGCTTGTCACCTCATTTAATCCTTGCCTTCGTTTCCCATTCTGCAGAGGAAGAAAATGAGGCAGAGGAGAGATCTGTGACAACTATTCCACAGCACACAGCTAATAAACAGTGGCTCTGGGATTGGACTGCAGCCTCTCTGAGCTCCGCACTGGTGCTGCTTTCTCTAAATTGAAATTATTACTGAAGCATAGCATCCCTGGAAAGGTAGGGTACTGATGTTTTACTTTAATAGTTATGCCTCTTAGGGGGCCTGCCCCTTAGCTCAGTTCTTTAAGTGGCTGCTTCAACAAAGCAGTCAGGCTCAGGTTGCTGTGGTTCGATCCCCACAACTCAAGCCTACCAAACCTGCCCTGAAGGCATTTGGGGCAAAAAAAAAAAAAAAAAAAAAAATCCTTCTTGGGGCTGGTGAGATGGCTCAGTGGTCTAAAGCACCTACTTAGAACAAGCTTAGCAAAGCACAGGGACCGCGGTTCAATCCCCAGCACCACATGCCAGCCAGCCCCGCCCCTTGGTGGGCTGAGCTGGCCACACACACACATAAATAAATAAATTAAATTTAAAAAAAATAGTTACGCCTCTTGATTAGAAAGATTGAACAGGAACTGGTAGGCTCTAAGGCAGGGTCCTAGCATGGGACAAGTCACTGGAAGAAAAGTACCTTGAGCTTGGAATTTGCATGATTGCTTCTGATTTCAACTCCATGTACAAGTTCATGGGAGGTGGCCTGAAGCAAGGCCCTTAGCTGGCCTCAGTGCACATGCAAATCAGCTTCATTACTTTAAAGTCACTTCCCAAATTCTATGAAGACAAGTTGGGCATGGTGATACAGTCCTATAATCCCAGCAAGAGGCTGAGGCAGGAGGGTCGCCATGGATTCAAGGCCAGCCTGGGGTATGCATGGCAAGGCCCTGTTTCAAAAAGAAATTTTTTTTTTTTTTTTTTTTTTTTTTGTTATCTAAGTGGAAGAGAGAAGTTGATTAAGTTAGGTTATAAAGTGTTCACAGCTGGAAGAAGGGGGAAAGAAGTACTGGAATTTCACAACAGGGTCTCCAGTCAGTGGAGACGCACAGAAAGAACCCACGCGGCTTGCTTATGTGGATTATTTGGTTTTCCATTTGGCTTGCATGGCATAGAAAAGGTGAGGCTCGGGAGCCTTTTAAAAGTTAAGTTGCATTCAGCAGATTCAGCAAATTCCAGGTGTCACCCAGGGCAGAAAGCATGCATACTAAAGCTGATTTATGGCTGCCTATTTACTTTCCACTAAATGCAGAACAGAAAACATCAGAGCGCAACACTGCCCCTGCATAAGCAGGACCATGGTGCTGGGCTGTGAGCGGTGGCCCCCAAAGCCAACAGGAACAGCGCTAAGCTCTTCATTCTTAAGTATGTGGGACCGTTTACAAGAAGTGGCCTTCAGCAGCAGAAGTTTTACAATTCCAGCAGTCGTGAGCTGGGACTGTAAAGTCAGGTCCTGGGGCTTGCACCAAGCCCTTGGGCAAGATCTGTGTCCCGCCAAGGGTGAAACAGCTTCTCCCTCCGTGAAACCCAGGAATAAAAAAATCCTCCTTTCAGTTGCTACATCAGACTGTTTTCATAAAAAAAATTGCCACAATTTCACAGTTCCTCAAAACCTTTCATCCCGGCATCCCTAACAGTACAGGAGAATTCAAGGTGTTTCCCTGTGATTCAAGAAAACACTGGGAAGAAGCCTGAGAGGGACACAGTGGAGACCTTGTCAGACACTA